TCATAGAGCTACACATTCATGTGTCTGGTCTTGGAAGGTCTACATCTGTCTTTTTGATGTTGTTGTAATCCCTCATAGGGCTGGCCCTATGGGATCTCACCAGGTAATGCCTGCAGGCCTACCTTAGAAAGTTTTCCTCTAAAGATTTGGTTCTGCTCTTTTTTCTGCACAAAAGAATCCACCTCCCTCACCCCTCAAGCACCTTAGGATGCCTGCGTGACTCCTCTTCAGCCCCAGGCTCCAGTTTCTCCTGGATGTCTACCCCAGGCCTATTCTGGCCACTTTATACCAAAGATATATATATGTATATGTACTAGGGACTGAACTCACGGGTACTTAACCATTGAGCCACCTCCCCAGCCCTTTCTGAAGCAGGATCTTGCTAGGTTGCGTTGGGCCTCATTTAGTAACTGTGGCTGGCCTCAAACCTCCCAACCTACTGGGATTATAGGCGTACCCCCATGTGCCCTGCAAAGGTTACTGGGGATTGAACCCAGAGGGGCTTTACCCCTGAACCACATACCCAGCGTGCCCCCACCCCCAACAGCACCTGCTTTAAGAGAAAGTCTCCATGCTGTTTAGGGCCTCGCTCAATTGCTGAGGCTGGCCTTGAACTTGTGATCTTACAGCCTCAGCCTCCTATTGCTGGGATTATATACATCTGGCTCCAAATGTTCATTTTTACAGCCTCCATTGTTTTTTGAAACATGTTGAGCACRCTTACTTTATGAACTATAACTTGGTCAACAATATCTTAAAAACTTTTTATGTATTTCATTCTGTGTGTGGCTTTCACCTGTATGTGCACTTTCCTGGAAGTTTTTGTTTTGTTTTGGCACATTGATTTTTCTTAAAACATGTATAAACATACAGCTAATGAATTAACCACTACCCAGCTCAACATGTGTTCCTACCACTCTAGGAAGTTCCACCATGCCCCTTGTCAACTCTCTCCTCCCCACCTCCTAAGTAATCACCAATTCTAGCACTTGGCCCAGCCTTGCCTGTTCTGGACCTTTGTGTAAATGGATCAGACTACGTTATCACGTGCGGCCTTCTTTCATTTAACAATTTTGATCACATTATCCAGAAATTGTTTTTACTTGTACTGTTCCATTGTATGGAAATATCACTATTTATTTTTTGGTACTATGGATATTTAACCACTGAGCTAGTCCTTTTTATTTTCAAGACAGAGGTGTCTCTCCAAATTGCTGAGACTGGCTTTGAACTGTCAATCCTCCTGCATCACTAGGATTGTAGGCATGCTCCACTGTCTCTTGATGATCACTTATTAACTATTAATAGTTAGTTAATTAATATTAATAATCACTTATTAATAATTGGTGGACACATTATTTCTATTTCAAACACTGTTCCCCCTTCAAGTAAAAAAAGTGCAGTCATAAGAGCAAATACAGCTTTAAATTTTCTTAAAAACTGAATGTTTCCAAAGTAGCTATACCATTTGACATTGGCACAGGCTGTGTGAGGGACACTTGTTTGCACATCTTGGGGTCCTTAGTCTCCTGGTTTCGCGTCACTATCACTGTTTTATTTCCAATTTGTAATACTAATCACATTAGGCATCTTTTCATATGCTTATTTTCTTTTGTGAAATGACACATCAATTCTTTGCCCAGTTTTTGCTACAACAGATCCTGTGGGTGTGGTATAAATATTTTCTGTCTGTGGCCATGTTTTTACTTTTAATGATTTATTTATTTTCCTATTAGGGTTAGTGCTTTTTGCCTACAAGTTTATTATTTTCTTCCACAGGGTCTGCAATTCTCTCATCTTTAGGCCTATGATCCATTTTGGGTGAGGTGATTTCATTTTTATTTGTATTGATGTCCACTTGCCCTAGCTTGCACATTTGGGGCAAGGAAGGGGAAAAAAAAAAGGTGAGAACGCAATCTAACAAAGTACAGAGGTTGGGGCTGTGGCTCAGGAGTAGAGCGCTTGCCTAGCCCGTGTGAACGAGGCACTGGGTTCAATCCTCAGCACCACATAAAAATAAATAAATAAAATAAAGGTATTGTGTCCATCTACAACAACAACAAAATACTTAAAAAAAAAAAAAGTACAGATTAAATAACCTGGATTCACACCTCAATGAAATCCATGCAAAAGGTATCAGACTAAAGAAACTAATACTCAAAAAGTAGTGGCTGAAGAAAATGGGCTATTTATCCTTGACCAGGGAAGACTTGAGAAATTAGGAGGTGCTTTAGAAGAACAAGGGATCGGAAAAGGAAGAAACAGGCCAAAACTAAACTGTTAAGCTGGACATGATGAGCTTATTAACACTAGGTTTAGAATCCTAGGTCTACCTCTAGTTTCAAAAATCTCAAGTTTGTCAGTTCAAAGGAAAGAATAAAGAAAATGAGTTATTTCTTCCAACCTGGGCTATTAAAACATGTTGATCTGGGGGTGGATTTGCATTTATTTAACTGCATGTAGGAAGCCACCTCTTTGTCAACTTGTGGTCAACAGCATTTAATCAGGGGCCAATTATCCATAGTTAATGGTAAATGGAGAATTTAATATATGGCTCTGAAATTTTCCACATCATGTTCTATTTAATAGAGTTGACTATACATTCCAGAATGGATAATTTCCACTCCCACCCACACTGGAGACTTCAGAGGAAAACTGGAGTTACATTACCTAATAGTTGATTTCCAACATAGTCATTAGACATGCTGAGAACTTCCATATATTATATGACCTTACGCGACTTAGCTTTTGTTTTTTCACAATTACCTGGGGGTATAAGAACTCTTCTACCATTATTGGCTAGGTGTCTATGACACCAGAATTCATGATTCCACTCACCAAGAATCTTTCAAATACTTAATTTGTGCCATGTTTTAGAGTTTGAAAGGACAAAATTAAAGATATTGTGTGTGCCTATCAAAAAACAAAACAAAACACCACATTGATCTTTGCCGCAACAAGAATGCCCTTCTCAGCTGGGTGTGGTGCCGCAGGTTTGTAATTGTAGAGGCTCCGGAGGCTGAGGCAGGAGGATCGTAAGTTCAAAGCCAGCCTCAGCAAAAGCGAGGCACTAAGTAACTCAGTGAGACCCTGTCTCTAAACAAAATACAAAATAGGGCTGGGGATGTGGCTCAGTGGTTGAGTGCCCGAGTTCAATCCCCAGTACCCTGCGTTCCCCTCTCTCCTGCCAAAAAATGCCCTTCTCTGTAGACTATTATACAAACTGTTTCAAAGCATGGTTAAAATGCTATTTCCCCATGCAACCTCTCTAGATCCTTCTAGAATGTACTTCTATAAAGTACAGATCTAGTTCATCTTCCACAAAACAGCCTAATATCTGCTAAGACTGACTTTCCCTGATGTCATGTTTTGCCCTTTGGGGAAAACTCCAGTGGTTCCTGGTTGTTTCAATACTTCATTGAAGGTCTACAGAGGGCAGGTCCAAAGGCAGTTCTTACTGTCCCAGTTTACATTTTCAGTTCTATTTCTCATTACTCCCTAATATGCTTTCACTCTGAGCCAATTCCTACAGAACTTTCCTTTAAATGAAGTCTTAAAAAATATTGTCCTAATGTCATCTTAAGCACCATTGAGAACAGTATGCACAGGATAGACTCGAGCTCCAATTTGAAAGTCCAATATGCCTACCAACTATAGGCTGTTAGTAAATCACACAGAACCACTGTATAAACAGCACTCCACACACACACATTTTTATTGATTCAATACACATCAAGACTGCTTGCTGGTTGGTATAAAAAGAAAGGAAAAAAGGACATCATTTAACTACTTTGTTTACTTGCCTTAGTTTTATAAGTTGTACAGATGTCACACTTGAACTATAAAAAAACCATGATCATTCCTGTCATAGGTCATTCAGTAAAGAACATACATACAAATTTAAACTTGGAGGGGGCTAGACCACACCAACCAAGCATGACTTGTCAGTGTCATTACATTCACTAGTAGAATGAACATTTCAACTTAATTACTCTTGAGATAAGAAATGTGTCCTTGCCTATAAGACTGAGTAACATTTGTTACGTAAATTCAAGGAAACTGAAAAAAGAAACATCATGATAAAATGTGTTATAGTTCAACCTAACATGGATTCATTTGGTTATTCTAACAAGTTCTCAGATTTATATTTTTAATATCTTTAACTTTCCTAAAAGTTAGAATTAAACAAACAAAAAAATTAAAAATGTTACAACCTAGGGTTATAAATCCAATAACCTAGACTCCAATTTCTTAAAAATGTTCTGGGTAAACTGATTCTATTTTGATACATGAAAAACAATGGACTGTGGAAAATATGCAAGAACAGATATTCTTACCAAACCATGAGGGAATTGGGTTATCTGACCTGTTGATTCCTAACAATATTATTAGGTCTAGCAGACAGAAGGTGCCTCAAAAAAAGGTGTGTTGAATGGTCAAGTTTCACTTCAAATTGACAATGCACTTTGGTTCTACACACAGGACAGTCCTATTAACACGTGATTCTAGTTTCACCATGCCAAACAGAAACAAGGTCACCACAATTTCATAAGCATAGTTTAATTTTTTAAAATTTTAACAATTCAAGTAAAAGCTAGTTAACATAAATACAGAATATATGCACATAATTTACAGCCATGTACATAAATGAAAGAAGAGCAAAACTCACATAAACGGGCAAAAGTTACCAACTCTTTAAAAGTTGACGTGTTAGGGGTGGCAGATAGGTCATAATTTAATTGTTCACATACAATGGGGTACACATTCAAAAGTTTTTTAATATAACTGAGTAGGACTAGAATTTTTCAGTTCCTAAAAGGAGTAGCATAAAATCAATGTACAGACTAACGGGAAATATAAGAGCATGAGAGAGAGTTAAAAACAGAAAGCATACTTACTTCATATATTAAAATTCCTTTCAATTTACACCATTCAGAAATGACTATATTCCTAGGAATGTTAAAGTCATGATTAGTACAGTCAGCCTTTTTCTCCTATAGTATGAATCAGTCCCAAAGGGTCCCTACAATTACTACATTTGGGTAGAAGAGCATGTAAACCACAAAAACAGGCACAAGGGATTCTGGAAGAGGGACTAATTTATTACAACCCTGATTCTGCTGGTCCTAAAATAATGCTACTCCACAGTGCACATTAGGTATGAGACAAAAGGTTGGATTAAATAACCTCATGATATTCTATTTTGGTTTCGAAGTTACTAATCAGTTTGGGCCTACTCTAGTAAGGTTGGTTCTACAAAGTTACGTAACCAGAACCAAGACAGAGGTTTCCTGGTAGATTCTTCCCCCGGAATTGAAAGCATTGTATGGTACTCACAACCACAGGGGTGGCACCGTGGTCTCAGATTTGAACTGCGAAACATAGCAAACTCTTTCTGGGAGTGGCTGCTCTATGAGCATAAGCTTTCAGTACCTACTGCCTGAACCTGAAGAAGTTCAATTCAATTTCTGAGAAGATTCTGTAATAAAATACAGACCAATCTGGAGTGCTGATGATCTCCTACCAAAACACAACAACAACAACAACAAAAAGTCCAATGCTCTGATTAACATCTTTGTCTTTAAACATTAGAATAGATTAAAAAATCAACTTTAATTGCATTAAAGCAATTTTCATATGTAGTTTTCTTTTTTGAATTATCTGTCCTAGTGTAAACTATGGCAGAATGTACTCAGGGGAAAAACCAGACTTCATTGCTCCTTTCTAGTTGTTGCACAAATGCAGCCCAAGACTTGAAAAGCTTTTCCTTCTAGTACACACATAATATGCACTTTAAAAGCTGATATAATGCACAAAAGGTCAATTAAGTTTTGCTTGCTAAATATAAACAGAAATAGAATACCATCCTCGAAGGACACTTGTTATGAATTTGCTATAACAAAATGAGATGTTCCTTAGCTGCTGGTTTTCATGTCATTCTTCATTTGTGGGGCACTGAGATCAGTAAGACTAGGGAGTGTGTCCTACATTCAACACATTATTTATGGATCTTCACAAGGCAAATGGCACTGTATTAGGCAGTATAAATGGCACTGAAAAGGCAAACATTATGGAATGAGACCTTCTCTACAGATTTAAGTTAGAACCTCTGGGGTATTCTTCTGGTGGGGAGAGAGCTTAGTATGTTCCTCACTATAAATGTCAAAGCAGAAATTAAAATGAAAAAATGTTAAATAACAAAAGGTAACAAAACTGAATTTGCCTTTGGTCTCCAAATAGATTGGAATATTTTAAATTCCAACTGAGCACCTCAAAAACATCCAGTTACTGCTGATTATAAGGAAGTTAAGGTAGGAGAATTCAAGAGAGCTTCATTGGTGACAGCAAAAAAAAAAAAAAAACCTGCAATGACATGCTGCTTTTCCATAATGTTGTGGCACTGCAGGGTACGAAGAATGCTTAAACACATTATTAGACCTTCAAAATAAAAACCCAGAAAAATGTTATGAACACTGTTTCTCCCTAAGACCAATATTTAAACAACAACAAAAAAAGCTAACATGAAATTCTCTCCTCTCTTGTTCCCGCCCCACCCCCAAGGCCACAAAGTGCATTCACAAGGAGTTATTCTCAAGATAAAGCCATTGCACAAAATGTCAAGTTAAGGTAGACTGAACTGAGGACCACACTGGAGTTCAACTGTAGAAGTTTTATAAACCAGTATAGCAACATCCATAGGCAAAGTCCCTTGACATGGTATAATAGCAGACATCTCATAAGGGCCATATATAGAACACATTTAAAGTCTTAAAAGGTGCAGGTTACTTAATAGCAAAATTTAAAAGTTACATCCTGTCAACATATTTCACTCTAACTTGAATCTTTCTATGATAGACCATTCGAGAAAATAGGACAGAATAAATTTCCATCAGAAGTAACTGTTCATTTATAAACTCTAAGCCAATTAAGATCATTACCTTCTGAATCAGAGGGCTCCTCTTCTATAATGTTTATACTGTCCCACATTAATATCAGCTTTAAAAAAAACTCATAAGGGCAAAACTGAAAATTACCATTTTCTCTACAAATAAATCTAATATATACAGATCTGGAAATGATTCAAAGGTTTAGATTCTTAAAGTGATAGCAAGTAGAGAAAGATTCAGAAGTAGTAAAATTTTCTATTTAACTAAGTGATACTTAATTCAAGTCCATAACAAGTAAATTACTGAAAAGGCATTTGCATTCATTCATGTACCATAAAATTAGGTAAGATTTGAAGACACATTCAAGTCATTGAAATGGCCAAGAATTAATGTTTTACTAGTTTATTTTGTCAAACTACTGTGAGTTTGATATTCTAACAATTTAAAGTCCACATTATGCTCAACATCAAGCACCGGTTAGTCGTGGAAACCAAAACATCTTAATGCTAAAAGTACACAAGGTATTTAGACACAATTTCATTGGTTGTCAATAACAGTTAACTATTGATGCCAAATAGTTAAATTTAAAATACTGTGCCAGGTCCTCTCAGGAAAATGGGAAAATAATACTCAGGATCTATCTATTATTATTATTCTACAGTATTATAGGGATTAAATGCCAGAAGTTAGAAATTATGACTGTCAAATACTATCTTTGGATAGTTGTAGTACAGTATATAATTAGGGATGGCTTTGTTTAGAGACTGAAAAAATGCTGATGGAACAACACTACACTCTGAATGCCATTACTCAACAAACACAACTGCATCTTGTGGACATGGTAGAGAAAATGGCAATTTTGAGAAGGAGTGCTTCTAAAGGCATTTCCTCAAGGGTAGCCAAGGATTGTTCACATTACTGAGAGACTAAGTAATGTGACATGGTTACCACCTCAATCACACTGCTGCTGAGGCACAGTTACATGTTCCCAACTACTTTCCTTCTGYCCACCATGCTGGCTTTGCTACTCCATGGTCCACTGTAATCTTTTTGGTCTTCCCTCTTTGTAGTGTGGCAGCCTTTGCTGCTATCCATTGAGTAGGTAGACCACCAATTCATAGGTGGCCATCATAATGGCTGTGTTTGGAATCTGTCTCACCAGGTGGGTTGTTAGACCACGGTAGAGAGATCCATAACCTTCTTCTTGAACAACCAAAGACAGTGTCTGAAAAAAAGATCTGTATTTTGTTCCCTCTTCACGTAGTCTTGTTCTTACAACTTCTGTTTAGGAAAGAAAGAAAATCATCTTATTTAAATATTATTGTATCTTTACACTCTCACAATACTGAGCACATTCCTTTTCCCATTCTCAGGATATTGACTTTTAACATGTAGCTTACTGAAACCAGTCATATTTCGGTAACACCAAGTTCCTAACATAGCTAAAATCATGTACACCGACTATCAGTTGTATATTAGATAAACAGACACAGAGATAAGGATAAAACTGTTAAGAAGCAGGATAGGAAATGGAGCTAAATGGATACGGAAAGATACAGTGAGAAACAAAAGATTTAACAAAGCAGTACAAAGACACCTCGCTGGGGCTAAGTGTGGCTGAAATTTGCCTCTGGAGATGGAGCATGACTGACTCACAGCTCCTGTCCGACAGCACATACCTGCTTATACCTCATGTTACTTAGCTTTAGTCCCACTGTAAGCTCCAAGAACTGCATTCTGTTGTACTATAATTAAGTAAAATCCCACAGATTCTAAAGATGCTGCGAGCTGGGGTAGCTGTTTCTGATCTAACAGAGTTTACTCACAGAGACTCAACTGTTCTTACCATGTGGATATGCTATAGTTGTGGCACAAGTTTTTGAGGTGGCAGCAGCTAGCATCATTCCCACAAAATCTGATGCTTCTTTCACCGACTCTTCACCATTTTCCATCACAGAAGCAGTTTTACATTCCAGTAGTTTTTGCTTTATACTTTCATAAATAACAAAATGGATAACAGTCTCTGATATGCCAGCGTATGAAGCAGACATGCCTCTATAAAATCCTCTAAGTCCATCTGTCCGATACACTTTACGAACACATTCAAAAGCACCCATTCGCTTTTCCCCACGGTTCCTGAAAGGAAAAATATTGACACTGTATATAGGTTTTTTAAATAAAGTAAATGAAACAGAGTAAAAATATGCCATTCTAATAAAGAATGGTCTTCTTTAACATATAAGGGAAATCAGAATTTTAAAAATACATTCATCTTTCGTAATTCTTATCTTTTGTCCCAAATTTGTCATATTAGATGCATAACATGTAAATAGCTTAATTTACTGAATGCAAAATATATTTCATTGATTCTATAGTTTCACACCCTCCTTACTAGAGTTCAGGTAGTGAGGATAACCAAGAAACTCCAACAGGAACCAAATACTCTGAATGCAGCTCAAGATAAAAACAAGTCCCCCCAAAACCCCAAAACCAAACCCCTCACACTGTATTAATTCCAGTTCTAAGTAACTTAAATATCTGACAACGATGAGATATTTATGATGACAGTACACTACAAAGAAAATTATATAATTGAGTTTCTGTGCATCTGTAGTTCTTCCATCTCCACCCAGACCATCCCCAAGAAGTGAGTGGGTGAGCATCAAATGCCCCACGACCACTTAAAGACAATGGCCTTATTAGTATTCCAGGAAATGGTAAATGAGAACCTATACAGTCATCAAGCACTTCTTCAGAACTGTTCTCAACACAATTTCCTTAATGCAATGGAAGGAAAGACTTGCTTCTGACAGCAGACTAAGTTTCAACGTGGAACAAAACAAAATAAAAAATTCAACAGAAAAAGGTAATAAGGAGGAAAAAAACCAATGAAATGGCTGGCACTGAAATCTTACTGACGTAAATTTGTAGGAAAAATTAAATACTTTTAAATTTTATTTTAAGGAATTAACATACCTTGCATCTAGCTGTAACCGAGTCTTTATAAGCCAAATGGGATTGGTTGCCGTGATTGCAGTAAAACCTAAACAAACACGTTTAAAATGAACTCCAGTAAAGATGAAGACACGATTAACTTTAAGGATCTTTAATTATGACTATAATTAGAGAAAATGTCTATAAGTATTTAAACTATTAATTGATATGTTCTATAAGTATTTAAACTAATAATTGATGTTTTATACTTTTATTTTACAAATTCATATAATCATGAACATCTATCTGACCTTACAATCTTCATAAATTCTCAAATTCTGATCTTAACAAAAGATTCTTTTAAGAGTAAAATCTGATTGTATGTAAACTGCTCTCCTCCTACCTACCCAGAATGCCTGCGCTGTCTATTGCCTAAACTGAATGCAGAAACCCAATGCTACAGACAAACACACAGAAACTTTTTTCTAGGCTACGAAGCATGCACTTAGAACAGCTACTTGGGGGTGTGATTCTTGTCACAGATCAATATGTTCAAAATGAGTTCTACATAAAAACAGTATTTACTAATATTTTTATTCATTTATCAGAAAAGACTTATTTGGCCCCATGAATACTTTCTACAAACATACTTACTAATACTGTTAAAATAATGGTATGACAGAGGTAAGGTTTCTGTTAGGGTTAATAGGACAGATTACTTTTCATACACTTAAACACATACGAAACTCAAAASTTCAGAGTTACAAATTGGAACTTCCCTCTCACTTTCAGAGATACTGAATAAAGTCAGGGTAGAAGGTAGCTCTAAGTTACTTTAACACTAAAGTATTAAGTAGGAACTATCATGCAGAAGGGTAGCCCCTAAGGTGGTTCAATTCTAGGTAGAAAATTACAATTTGTGGAGCAGTAAGTTTCTAGGCTTGTGTATATCTTTTCTTTGACATCTTCCTAGTTTGGGAAAAACAGCAGCACACAAACTGCAATTTTGATGATGGGAATTTATAAAGATTGCTTCATCTACACAAAATAGGGTATTCACATTTTATGTTTACATTTAAAATCAAATACACAAACATTACAGAACTACTTACATCAAGCTACGTTTACTCAACTGGCCCTTAAATTCGAACACTTATATGGAGAAATATATCTAAGGATCTTAACTGTTTTAATATTTTTTATCAAATGCTAGCAGGTCAAGTACATTATTTTTAGCAAGATGGTACTATATTTCACATACTTAATATAAGCACTTTAGGAACAAAAATGCTGTAAAATATTTAGGAATGATTTGTTTTAAAAATTAATATTATATAAGGTGGAACCAATCATAAACTGCTCTTGGCTTTCAAAGTTACTATGGGTAACTACATATGCAAAATAATTTTACTAAACTGTTTACAAAGCTAAATTTGGACTTATAAGATTCTTTTCTCCTGTCTATGTGAGATAATAGCTAAGTCAAATTTTACTTCTCCCTTAACACACTGTTCTAACACTATAAATAGGCAGATGTTACACAAAGGGATGTTCCAATTAAATCTATTTAAGAAAGAAGGTAACTGGAATAAAATTTGGTTGGATAATTCCTTTAATAATTTATAAGAATTATATAGTTCTCTATTTCTCTTACATGCTTTTAATATTATATACATGAACATAAAACTAGAATGGGACCAATGATTTTAGAAGCATCAGTCAGAATTAAACTAATAAAAATTTAGAATCGAACAGTTGTTGCCACACACATTTTTCAATAAGAGATTCTTTGTATGAATATATTCTTGGTGAAAGGAAAAAACAGAAAACTATGCATCAGACTAGTTTAAATATTTTTCTTGCATGATCTGGCTTAACTGAAAACAAAGTTATTAAATGTTTTCTTCTTCTTTGAACCTCATTTTTCTAACTAAAATGGTGAAACTAAAGATATTTGAACCATAATTTTTAAGCAATCAAACATCCATATTCTGATCAAACCACAATTTAATGATTCTTACTTCTGAAATAAGAATCTGATTCTTCTTTCTTAAATATTTATATTAGCTAAATGTTTGTGAGATAAAGGCTCCTTAAGTGAAAAGCTGTTCAGCAGCAAAAATCAATAGAATACATTACTCAAGATGGCAATTACTGATCATTCTTAAAAATTTTAAGTTAAGAAAAACTACCTGCTTATTGAACTTGAAAAGCCTAAAACTGGGAATTCTTATATCAAATTTAGAAAAACTCAATAGCCTAGGTAAAAATTTTCATTTAATTTATTATATTTCATTTGAAAAGATGAACACCAAAGTTTTTTAAGTAAAAGTTCTATTCTAAAAATATAAACTTAGTACCCAAGTTTTTGCCAATAATATTTTTTTTCCAAGACACAAAATTCCCCAAATTTTAGACTGGGAAAAAAAACATTTAAATATGTATATATACATAAATATTTATAAATATTACTATAAATTAAAAATTTGGGGGCTCAAAATATTATTTTAAAATTATTATCTGTGCATATTAGTAGACAATGTCAGAAAGCAAACAACAGGTATTGCTCACTTAACTAAAACTCATTTCCAGGCACAAATTAAACCCATATAAAAGGTCATATGAAAATTCAGGTGAGAAAATATTATCTGATCCCTTAAAATGACTACATTAGTAAGCTATACTTACTATAATTATTCTAACTCAATTCTCCCAATAACTAGAATGAATTCTTAATAAATATACTAGCCTAACTTCCAGCATTCAAACTATGAGTTGAATAAAGAATCTAGGCATAACCCACAGGCTTTTAGTTACTGATCCTTTACCAGTTTAAAACTAGATGGTATTTGAGTCTTATGCTATTACTTCTTCTTAACCAAAAATAATGAACTAATTAGAAATTACTAGGCTAAACTAAATCTAAAAAAATCTATTAATTAGAAAAAAATGAAACAAATGGAAGAAAACAAAAGTTTACTATTAACTTAGAATTACGTACAACCAGACAAAGCTAAACAATCTTCCTACTACTTTTAAGATAAGCACACACAAGGTTACTGGGTATGGTGATCCTGAAATTTAGAAACTACCTATTCTTATTTTGCTTTTTAGATTTGTGACAATTTATGCTAACTTATATTAATGTGGAGCACCTAGTAAAACATTAAAATAGACTTAAAACTATAGGAGAGATCCATTTGTGGTTTAAGAAGGATTAGTACTGCTCCAGTTAGTTAAAGCAAGGTGTCAATACAATTGCCATACTGTTAGCTGGGTGATTAGTGTTTTATTAGATAGTCTTAAAAAGGTTTTTAAATGCAATTTTAAAAACATGTTGCTTCATGTAAGATTCCATTTGATAGTGTATACCACTTAAAACCAGATAAACAAATTTCACATACAATAAATCTGCTGAAAATGTTTATTTCATTAAGTGAGTGATACCTGTAGTATTGCATTTTCAGTAATTCATTTTATTTCAATTAACTCTATAAAAACAAAACTCATGTACTGTCCTAAAAAGAACCTTATAAAAAGTATTTTTTTAAGTAATTAAAACTAAAACAGCTAATATATTGTATCCTGCATTTATTTGGAAAGTCGTGGCATTAAGATCACTATTTTTGGCAGAAGAATAGTAAGCTAAGTATTGACAGACAAGAGAATGAAAACCACTTTTAAATATGTTATGCTAAGTAAGTGAACTATTTTATCTAAAGTTATAGGGCATTATGATATCATTTACAACTATGAATATATACTGTTACCAAATTCTTTGGAAGTCAGGGCTGTTATAGCCAAGCTAAAGACCCCAGGATTACATGACGACTGAAACATACCCCATTCTTCCTTCTAGAAGGATTATTAAGGGATCTGAATTAAATTTCTATAAAATACTCAATAATGCATACACAAATTCAGGAAATAAAAATTCATTTCCCGCCTTCTATTCATTTCACAGCTACTATAAAATCCCAGGGTGTGTTTCTTATACTAGAGGCTGCAAGAGATGCTCAGATCAGTACTCACGAGGTTTAAGTTAGTCCATATTTCTACAGGAAGTGACCTGCGGATGGGGAGCATGAGATGACACGATCTCACTCTTTTCTCGGGAGAAATGTACAGTAAATGCCTAAAATAGACACAGGCTTTTCTGTATCATAACAACAAGCAGTGACCTCATCAGAAACATGTGTACAAATTGAATCCCACTGGAAGGATTTGAGAAATATTTACTGTGAGAGCTAACCTTTTTGAAAAAGTCAAGCTAAAAAAAAGAAAGAAAGAAATATCAAAATGGGCCATTTTATTTATAAAAATGCACCGAGTACTGAAAATCCTGCCATCTGTAGCAGTTTGAGTCCAAATACTTACCTAAAAGAAACCAATTTTGGTCTTAGAAAAAAATGCTAACCTTGTCAATTGGGAATCTAAAAACAAATATTCAGAGGGGATTATCACATTCCATTTTCCTACCATTATTATCTACCATGATTAACAGCTGAAAACACAATTTTCTATTCTTTTAGCAATCAGCCTAGTTAGTAAATCTTTAAAAAAATAAAACCCCACCAGAATATTCAACTAACTTTATTTTAGAACTGTTTATATGTATATATATATTTTTAATAAAATAAAGTATATGCTGCTACAATAGTACCTTTCACTTTTTGCACTCTAGCCAGTAATATTGCACATCCATACTTATGGAATATTTTGGATTATTTTGTACTTAATTTCTTGTGTTCTACAAAACAGAAAACAGGAAAAAATATTTACATAAAAACAGACAAAACATCTGTCCAAGTATCCATTTGGCTAAATAATTTGCCACGGACAAATATTATTTAAAAATATTTTATATATGCAAGACAAAAGTTGTATTTAATGAGTAAAAATTTAACCTTTAGTAATGAACTATAAGTCAAACAGAAAAATATATCTTGAATTCATTTCATTTACATTTATAGGGCTATCTATTATATGTTCATGCCAGATTTTTAAAAAAAAATTAAAATTGAGTAATTTAAGAAATTTACCATAAAGAAAGGAGAAATTTAATGATTTTGTTGTATACACATATGTGCTTAGGTGTATACAGAGGGATGTTCAAGCTCATTTTAATAAAACACACACATAAGACAGATATCCTTAATAGCTAAAATAAACTTACTCTGACAAAGGTCGTATGTAGGAGGAAAAATAGCAGGTAAAACATTAAGAAAAGTCAACGTTACTTAGTGTGATTAAATATCCTCATAATTGGAAATTTTATTTAATACATGAAAACTTATAGGTATATTTTACAGACTTAAAAATTCTTACAGCATTCACCTGTAACACTAAAACAAATGAAAAGATTCACTTTAATTGACCTTTTAATTGTTTCAGTAGCTAAATTAAATGTTATCTAAAATAAATTAAATGTTTTGAGTTGATAAAAATGAAACCAGAGGTTACTTGGAATACAAATTAAGTAAACAGTACCTTACTAAAATCCTTAACATGAATGCTAATTGGTGTTGCAAAAATTTCCAGGAAAAATGCTGAATTACCTATTTTTAGTGCATTTTTGATAAGAAAAGTGACAAGGTTAGCTTTTTTTCCTTGAATAGCCAATTTTTAAAAACCTGTTTTTTCACATGACTATATCTCTAAGTATTTCACACCCCAAAATCATTCAGAGTTAGAACTCTAAAAATGATCCTGAAGAAAACTCAGAGCACTCTGGTCTAGATTATTTTAAGAATGAAGGGGGCAAAAGGCTACCTTTATGAGTCTGCACTGAACCATTCAGGATGTAGTTATTTAAAAAAAAAAAAAAAAAAAAAACAAACCTAAAATTGTAATGCTAAAATGTTAAAGCTCATGAATAGTGCAAGGAAACTCTGAAAGCATAATTCTCAGAACAATGTAACTGCAAATAAATATAATATATATCTTAAAATTACACAGTAAGTGTATAGTGCAATAGTCTCTGAACAAGCATGACCATCAATTTGCAAAAATGCAAGGAATTCAAATTGGCAAACAGTATCAATGTACAGATAAAAACAACCTGAGTTAATATTTGTACCCATTTGAGAAAAAAGTACAAAATGACAATTTTACTGAATTTCTTTGCAATGTAATACAAATATAATAGTAAATTCTGGTGAGCTATTTTAATGAAATAAGGTGCTTCAGTGAAAAAAGATATTCTGAACCTCTTAATTTGTAATACTGATATTATAAACATTCAAAGCAATGTTTATCTACTTTCTTGATTTCAATTTTTTCAAAAAGGCAACATTTTTAACATTTTTAAAAATAATTTTCTGGGGTTAAAAATGAAAATCATATACACTGGTAAGCCAGAAATATATTCTTAAAGAACCTAACCCAATAGTTATTAGGTTTATCACTGCCACTACTTTTACCTTATACTCAAAATTTGTAGGGGGAAAATCATATCCATATATTCAACATCTGTAAAACGTACATTAAAAAACAATTCTAGTTTTAACTAGATAATCTTTATCATAAAAGAACTAGTTCTCAAAATCCAAGTCTGTCTACATCAACACTCCATGGATGAGGTCAAGAGGCTCACATAAACTACCTAACTTGCCCAAGATCTCCTTATTGGTAAATCAAAGTATGYGCTATCTTGATTGTTAACTTTGTTGTCCCTTCCAACTTTTAAACTTCAACAGTCAATCAACAATAGCTAAATATGGAAATGTGTGAAAACAATTTGTAGGTATATGCTAGATTTATTATATGGTAAAGACTATCAACCTTTCAGAAATTAGTATTTCAAACTTACACTTAGTTGATTAAATATGTAGTTCAAATTGATCCAATTTATTTCTAAACAGAAAATGGTTAACAGTTTAAGGCACTCATTATTAAGCACATAACTGACACTCTATTTATTGATCATCAGCTGACAAAAGTGGCTACAGTCCACTGTATAAAGCCACAGCATAATTTGGAAATATAAAATATTGTTAAATATGCAACAAATCTCAGAAAACTTAGAAAATTTCTATTTAGAACCAAACTTCATGGCTTTGTCTAACATGCATGGCAGCAAATGATTCCAGAACCAGACTGGTCAAACCAATCTCCCATAGTTTATTTTTAAGGCAGTGCACAGACCTGGGGCAAACTGTTTTAATTCAGAATCATATATACTCATCAATGATGACAGAAGAGTTCCTGGAAACATTTCTATATCAAGCATGTCCACACAGCCAGTGTCTAAATTTCTGGTAGTATCTAGTCTCATTTATGTGGGATGATAAATATATTTTAAAAAATACATACATTATAGTAACTGCTTGGATTATATACATCACTCACAAAAATCTCAGCATTTGAGCACAGGACAAAATGAATACTTTACCAAGAATTGCCGGCACATTTCAGACAGAAGCCAAAACATGCAGCAAAAAGGGGAAAGGCACTAACAGAAATTGAGGAGAGAAGAATAAATTACAGCTCTGTAACTTATAGCGTAATTATGGTTGGAGTCTTAAAATTGTTAAAAGTAAATACTAAACATTCAGTAAATTATAGAACAATATGAACATTATATTATCTATCTCATTACTTAAAGTCCTAAAGACAAAAATGCCAATTTACAACAAATTTTCCATGTACCTAATCAAATCTGTTTAATACAAATAAACATAAAAATCATCTTTGCACATGCTAGTCAGTGAAAGCACACTAATCATCTTAACTTTTCAAAATAAACTCATCAAAATTCAGTATTAAGTCTCTGGGTTTCAGAAAGTTTTTAGTCTTTTAGTATTATACATTCATACCTGCCACAGCAGCCGAAATCATGTGTACCTGGGTAGAATCAGGATCAAACACACCATTCAACGTTTCCTTGGAGTTTGAATAAGCAGCAAAGTATATTGCTCTAAAAATAAAATTTAAATTTGTCAATAAGCACATTGTCTAAATGTAAATTTACCTTCATAATCTCAGAATGGAAAAATCTAAACACCAAGTATCAGTCATATTTTCATATAACATCAGATTAACAGTTTTACGTGAATACCCTTAAATACTTTCTGTATTGATTAAAAAAAAAAAAAAAAAGGACAAACTCCAATGCAAAGTTCCTAGTTTCTATCCTTAAACAATCCTCTACCCAGTACTTTGATGCTACTTAGAAATTGACTAACTGGAGCTGGGCACCATGGCACATGCCTGTAATCCCAGCGGCTAGGAGGTTGAGACAGGAGGATCGTGAGTTTAAAGCAAGCCTCAGCAATAGTGAGACACTAAGCAACTCAGTGAGACCCTGTCTCTAAATACAAATGGGGCTGGGAATGTGGCTCAGTCAGTGGTCAAGTGCTCCTGGGTTTACCCCTGGTACCAAAAAAAAAAGAAAAGAAAAAGAAATTGACTAACTGGAACAAAAATATTTGTACAAGATTTTTATGCTTGGAAACCCCGTGCATGATTGTGAGGTTTGTGCAAGACTAAGGCTAAAGAAGTAAGGTCACCTAACTGAGCTGAGTATCAACTGAGTGTAACTTTTTGGTGGGGAAAGGAGAGTATCACTAAAGTACTTGCTAAAAATTTTAATATAGCATAGTCTTAGCTATAACATACAGAATAGTTCACAGTATTCTTTTATTTTCAGTGCTGGGGACTGAACCTAGGACCTCAGGCATGAGAGGCACGAACTCTACATTGAACTACACCCCAGCCCCACAAGTGAAATGACCCCATCAGATTGGGATGTGTTTGTCAATGTTTGTGAACATTCTGTTAAATTTGTAAATATTTTCCATTAACATACTTTGACTTTTTACATCCCCAGTGTTTAACTTTCCAGGCATAGAATTATTTGCTTTCTATTTCCTATATCCTATTTCTCAACAGTCCTAATTAATAATAAATAACAGATAAATAACAGATAAGTACAAATGSAAAGTTTCACTGTTACATCTTTTTAAATGTGGTTAAGGATAAAGGGAAATTAACAATTAAAAAAAATTATACTTTATAAGAAAGAAAAAAAACAGTATACACTTGATGCTAAATTGTGAAGTAGAACAAACATCTCATTCCTAGAAATGAATAAGGAAAAAAAGACCCTAATGAGGAAATAAGTATGGAATACATACAGGCAATTCACAGTAGAGCTATGAAATGTCAAGTATTAAGAATGAGAGGGCTGGGGATGTGGCTCAAGCGGTAGCGCGCTCGCCTGGCGTGCGTGCGGTCCGGGTTCGATCCTCAGCACCACATACAAACAAAGATGTTGTGTCTGCCGAAAACTAAAAAATAAGTATTAAAAAATTCTCCCTCTCTCTCTCTCTCTCTCTCTCTCAAAAAAAGTAGCTATTAAAAAAAAAAAGAATGAGAGTGCTGCTGCATCAAAAATTAAACAAGGATATATTAAAACAGAAAAAAAATCATATTTAGCTCATCTGGCAAGTATTAACAAGATGGTCAGTAGCCAGAATTGGTAAGATTGTGGATAAAAGAAAAACTGATTCACTATTTGATAATAAAAATATGGTATGCCTTTTCAGAAGGCAAATGAACAGTATTCTCTAGTTTTAAATGTACATATGCCATTTTATGCAGAAGTTCTACTTCAGGGTAAACATCTTGAAAGAATATACTTGCTTAAGTACTCAAAGGTTCTACATTTATAATACCACTTTCCCCACCTACCACACTGGGGACTGAACTGCACATGGTAGGCAAGGACTCTACCACTGAGCTATAGCCTTGCTCTAAGTTGCCTAGGCTATTCTTGAACATATGAACTTCCTGCCTTAGCCTCGTGAGAAGTTTGGTTTAGGTGTGCAATACTTCACCCAGCTCCACAACACTGTTTTTTATATTAAAATCTAAAAATAATCTTTTAACGTGTATCTCTGAGGGAATGCTTATTAATGAGGGGGCAGTCATACTATATAATAAAAAAGAAAATGTCACCCACAGAACACGTAAAGAGCTTCAACACAAATTAGGTTGAATAGTATGAGCTCGATTTTATATAGGCGATAATTATACATTTAATTTTACAAATGTTTTTATGCATATGATAACCCAGAAAAATTACTGGGAAGCTATACACCAAACTATTGTTAATGATGGTTATCTATGAGGAAAATTAGTGTATGGGAAGGGAAACAGGGTAATAGACAATATGTTTAAGATGGAAAGTCAAATTCGATGCTATAATGCTTTTTTTTTTTTAAACAAGAAGGATGCAAAATGAATAATTTCCTAAAAAAAAAAAAAAAAAAAAAAAAGCTGAAATCCAGTAAGTAATTAGACATGAATCTGGTTCAAGATTTAGATTCAGAAAGCTGTTGTGCTCCTGCTCATTCTAAATAGGAACTTTGGACGTCTTACATCATGAAAGAAGTCAACCTAAGATAAAATGGCATCAGAGAAATGATAAAGTAATATTCCAGATCTTTATGGTTTCTTTAATAGGAAATGGAACTATTTGTTTGGCTTGTTAGTGAAGCCAAAAAAAGGCTTAGTTTTAGAATTCCCAATTTTCTTTTTCTTATTGCTAAGTTCCTTTAATTGTTGTCTTTTGAACTTGGTGCAAAGACTGCTTCACAAAGATCTCACTGAGAGGTCCTTTTGTACCTCCACCTGGTGCAATCTGCATAACCTTTCAGATGATCACTCTTACCCCACACTGATATCCTTACCACCTTGACTGTGTTCAGATCTCCCTTCACTGGGCCTTCCTTACTATGGTAGGTACTGTAGGCATCTTACTGACCTTCAATGCTGCACAGATTTTCTTGTTTTAGACTTTCTATTCCTTTCTTCAATCCTGTTCTAAGCCCTGAACCCTTTATAGCTCTCTGATTCTACAGATGCCATCTTGTTTCTTTGAAGCTCAACTTCTATTTGTATAATCAGAAAGGAGMACTAACTTCAAGTGGAGTACAGAATAGGGTAGCATCTGAAGCAGAAAAATTTGAAAGACATATTTTAGGTTCAAGGGATGCATTTTTAAAAAGCTTATGAACGGGTTTAGTTAAATTCAGAAAACTACCAACACCTATTACAAAGTATCAGTAGTTTATGGCCTTAACTCTGCATAGATTTTCAATTTCCCACAACAAGAAAAAAAATTCTTCCGACTCCCAAAGGTCATTAAGAGGGTATAATTATTGTCCTGGGAGAACTCAATACATAGCCACTAGCTCTAAGGGAATTTATAGATTTTTTTTTTAAACAAACATTACTAATTCACCATCTCTTATTCAATCCAAAACAAATATACATATTATCTTCCCCTATTTTCAACTTTGAATATCTCCTCCAACACCTGAAATCTCAGGTCCATTCATGGAATTTAAAAATTTACAACTCTTATTTAGAAACAATGTTTCTCAAAATTCTAGGTATGTTATGTCATACTTCTTTATTTCCCCACTATAAGACCATCGATAATATTTCCCCAAAACACTAAAAACTGCAGTTAACTGTATATAAATGATTTAAATCCAGATACCCTGAAACAAGAAAGACTGCCATAATTCTACTTAATCTGAATTTATATTTTTCTTACCTGGAAGGGGCCACCCCCACTAAATTAGGGCCTAGTCCTCTGAACAAGGAGCGAGGCCCTTCTTTTTCCAAGATCACCCTAAAAAAGACAAAAATTACATTAGAAACATTCTAGGTCTGGTGCTTCATTTATTTTATATAGCAAAGCTAGAACCTAAATCTGTTTGTATTATGTTAGGCATTTCTGTCTAGTTTTCCTTACTTATAAAAATCTATTTTTTTAAGAAACAGCACAAAGTGCTGAAGACTGGCAATCAATTTACTAGCAATAATAAAAAGAACTCAATTCAGATTCTTTTCTAAAGAAGATTTTTATATATTTATGCTACTCTTGTCTCAATCTTCTCATTTTAATATTTTTATTTTTAACAGAATATTCAATTCTTAATTAGAAATGTAAATTCCTAAAAAAAAATGGTTTTGAGGCTTTTACTCAATATTGAACAAAACACTTAGTACTACAGTATGATGGTATCCAACCATTCCAGTGAAGTATTATGGCAAAAATCTATCATCCTAACACCTTTTAGGGGACTGGAGTTTTTGACTGCTATCACTTCTCCTCCACTCAGTTAACACTTCCTATACAGAATACTAACTGTATAAAAGACCTCATTGTTTTATTTACTTTTTTGGTCCTGGGATTGAAATGAGGGTACTTTACTACCACCGAGCTGCATTCCCAGGCCTTTGTACTTAGAGGCAGGGTCTTGCTTGCTAAGTTACTAAGTCTGGCCTTGAACTTGCAATCCTCGTGCCTCAACCTCTGAGTTTTTGGGATTACAGGCACACACCACCATGCCCCACATAAGGAGGTTGTAATGACTAGACAGAGAGCAGAAAGTTTTTTTTAATTCAGAGTTAACAGACTAGGTAAGTTAAGTGACTCACAAACATCTCTATGCTTAAGAAAGATCTCTCAAAGGCAGCTGAGTGCAAGCACCTGAGCTGAGGCCAGACTTCTCATTCAGAGCCCAGTGGTGGCAGATGACTAACTGTGAGACCAGAAAGTATTTTTCTCATTCATCCAAATTTTCAACAGTAAATAAAGGTAAACAGTATCTCTTTATTGGGTTACTATGAGGATTGAAAAATCATACATAAAGAGCTTTTGGGTTTAAAAAACTGAGAAACTGAAACAGAGCCCAGAGGGATTCTCCAAAGTTCCTGTGAGAAGAGAAAGCACAACTATTGAAAAACACAACAACAAAAAAAATGTATCAAGGAAAAATTTTAATATTAAGTGATAATAACTATCAAGGTCATATTAAAATACTTAGTGATCAGAAGAATTTATCTGTAAACATGGTATTTTAATTCAAAATTGTTAACCATTTTATTCTACCTATTCACGCACTTAAATAACCAAGTTTGAAAAAGTTAAGTGTGATGAAATCTTTTGGTAGCAAAAGTAAACACAATGAATGAGCTTATTTGCTTCTAGAAAATAAACACTACTGAACTAAGTTCAAACAGATTAAATCCAAGTGAGCTGATAAGGGAGACACACAAGGTTTTCAGTTATAAACTCAACTTTACCTATGTAAAACCTATTCTATTCCATTAGGGATTATTATTTCTAATGAATTATTTCTGTCACTAAGTTTGTAAAAAAAAATCTTTTAAAACGTGACAGAATATAAACATGGGAATCACAGAAAAACAGACTAAAAGCATCACAAGTACTGTGCTCTCACTTTAGGCAATGGAGGGGTCCAGGAGACACGATGCGGTTGACGCTAGCTCCAGCCATGGTGTTCAGCTGAACTTCAGAGATGTAGAGTGTCACAGAAGATGACTGTAGCCGTGTTTTTACAACTTCCAGTGGACATGTCAGAATGGCTCCCACTGTGCCGCCACATCTACAAGACAGGAGAAGGAAACCCATCTCTTATCAGGACACACTCCAGTGCTGTACCCCAGGGCCCGAAGCTCTGCCAACCTACTGAACTTTAAAATTTTTAATGATTTTAGAAGACTAAATGATGTTTTTTTTTTTTTTTAAAGAAAGAGTGAGAGAAAGAGAGAGAGAGAGAGAGAGAGAGAATTTTTCTTAATATTTATTTATTTATTTTGGTGGACATAACATCTTTGTTTGTATGTGGTGCTGAGGATCGAACCCGGGCCGCACGCATGCCAGGCGAGCGCGCTACCGCTTGAGCCACATCCCCAGCCCCTAAATGATGTTTTAAAGTTTCATTTATTTAACKGCATATAAACACCATAAACTGCTACAAGGAACTGAGCTTACTACTACCCAAAAACACAATTAGCTAAAGAAGATTTCAAATCATAGGTGCTTTTACTATAATTCACCAGTAAGTCATATCACATCACACCTTTGAATATCTTCTCAGGGTTGATGATTTAGAACTCCTTGCCCTTGTACGACTTGTAGCTCTCTTGAAACCAAGACCATTATTTGAAGTATATCCTATCTTTCAAATGTTTTTTTTAAAACTAAAGAAATGGTTTTCTTGAATTTAAAACTCAAGAAATAAGTCACTGATGGATAAGTATACGTGTTTCTTCCTACAGTGAAATACTCAGAAATATTTCACCTACAAAAACCATCAGGCAAGCTTCACAATCAGTATGTGTTAGGTTAAAATGCGGAAATCTATGGAAGATACGTACACTCAGCTAAAAAAAATCCACTTTAAAAAGACTGATGGTCAAAAAAAAAAAAACACCAAATAAAAGCTCTTAAGAAATTATTAAACATGTTAAAAAGACTGGTAAGCCATTTAAGTGTTCCTTTTAAGACAAGAATGGAGCATATTTTTCTTTAACATTTTTCTTTTAACATATCATACTAGCTACCCAGTGAAGCGCTGAGAACTGCTTTCTAACCACAGAGGATGGTGACTCAGCACAGTTCTCACTGCAGTCAAACAAAACACTGAGAGCCAGAGGTTACCATGGACCTCCATGAGGGCATTGAAGGAAGCAGCAAGGAATACACTAAACAAACCCACCCCCAGAACTAAATACCCATCTAAACCTATAAGATATGCAGTGTACCAGGAAAGCAGGCATGGCAGCAGTAGCACTACAAATAAAATTTAAAATAAAAAATGCATTAAATGAGATAAAGAATGATGTAACAGTACACATCACCAAGAAAATAGAAACCAACTGTATGCTGTTGATCTAAGAGTGAAAACTTTACACAACAAAACTACTAACATTAGAGGACATGGATTCATAACATAAAACTTGACCTTACACTTCACACCATATCTAAAAATTAATTCAAAATGAATCCGAGAATTAAATGTAAAAACATGGAACTATTAACACTCTTAGAAGAAAAAATCTTTTCAGTTTGGGTAAGAAACAGCTTTCTTAATTACCAAAAAAGCATAAACGAATCATTAAAAAAAATCAAATTTGGACTTCATCAAAATGAAAAGACAAGCTAAAGATGAAAAGAAAATTATTTGAAAATCATAAAATCATATACCTGATAAAGTGCTTGTATTCAGAAACATGAATAACTGGATAATAACTCAATAAAAAAAAGATTTAACATTTACCAATGATACACATGGATGTAAGTAAAGAGAGCTGTCATCTGGGAAAAGCAAAGCAAATCCATAAAGAGCTATGAAACCACGATGGCTAACATTAAAAAAACTCACAATACCAAGTGCTGATAAAGAGCAACTAGAAATCTTGCACACTGCAGGTGGGAAAGCAAAATGATACACCCATTTTAGAAAATGCAATAACTTTTCTACAGAGTTAAAACATACAACTGCCACACAACTCTGTAATCTCACTCCTAGGGACTCACCTAGAAGAAATGAAGATTACTTCTACACCAAGACCTGACCATGAATGTTTATAGCAGATTTACTTTTAACAGCTAAAAAATGTCCATCAACTGGTGAAGGACAAATAAATTGTGGTACATCTACGCAATGGAATACTAATCTACAAAAGTAACAACCTGGATGGATCTCAAAAGAATCATGTAAATTGAAAAAAGGCTTTAATTTTCTGACATTCTTGAAAAGGCAAAACTATAGGAACAAAATGAGATCTGAGGTTACCACAGGGTGGGGGAGGAGGGAGGAACTGACCGCAGAAAGAATGAGGGAATTCTTGGCATGTTCTACATTTTTATTACAGTAGTAGCTTTAGGACTTTATAGATTTGCTGAAATTCAATGAACTGTACATCTAAAGGGTGGATTTCATTGCACGTAAATGGTAGTATGATGAATCTAAAAAAGAAATCCCAAACTCTGTGAAAACTAATAGGAATTGCTAACATATGAACTACCTGGAGCTGAATACATATACATATATTTTTTTTTGGTGGGAGGGGTTCCAGGGATTGAACTCAGGGGCCCTCAGCCACTGAGCCACATCCCCTATTTATTTTACATTTTATTTAGAGACAGGGTCTCACTGAGTTGCTTAGAGCTTTGCTTTTGCTGAGGCTGGCTTTGAACTTGAGATCCTCCTATCTCAGCCTCCGGAGCCTCTGGGATTAGAGGCGTGTGCCACTGCGCCCTGGCTGAATTTTTTTTAGTATGTGAAACATTTAATAAACTTAATATTTACATCCACAAATAAAAGACACATAATGAGGATCTTAACTGTATAGAGATCGGTACGTAACACTTGGGTTGTCCTGAAGCAGTTCCACATTATAAAATGCAATCCATGTGCAGTTTAGGGGTGGCATTCTGGTATTTCTCATGCTGCTATTTTAAAGTAATTATTATATAAAACAAAATCATCAGAATTGATGTAGAAAACAAAACAATTACTTCACTATTCATTTAAAATTCCGGTTTTTGAAAACAGGATTAACCTCCTTGATTTATCTCTCTTCCATGTTGAAAATCTCAACTTCTAAAGAAATATGCCCCCACATCAGAGAATGCCAGAAAAAATCAGCAGACACAGGATTTCAGTGAGGCCAATGGAAAGGGCCTTAGTAAAGAGAAAGGCATGCAGAGGGAAATGTCAAAAAGCAGCAAACAGTTTTGCCACTCAAAATCCCAGATCAAGGGAACCACATATTGCAGATAGAGATAAAGCAAAGAACTAACAGAGAATAGGCTGACAAGCTGCACAACAAAGGCAGGATGCCTAGGTGTACATTTCCTTTACAGAATGGAGAGGAGGAAAGGGAGAGGTATATGGGCAGGGGCCAGGATGGGGTCGGGTGGGGTCAGGAGACAGAAATGGAACACAGAGACAGATACACACACACCTGATGGGTAAAACTATATTCCAGGGCAGAAGCCTAATTCTCTGAAGAACACAGGAACACAAAAATTTCCAAGCTCAGGATTAAGAAGTATATTGAATGCCAAACCACTAAGCCAGGTGCAGCAGTGCACACTTCCAACTCCAAGGACTCGGGAGGCTGTGACAAGAGGATAGCAAGTTCAAGGCCAACCTTGGCAATTTAGCATATACCTGCAGACAAAGATATATTCTAGCAATTGCCTACCTTGTGCCCTTTTCTTATACAGCTAATTAAAAGAACAAATTAAGAGAATAAACTAAAAAAGAGGACATAATTGGACTCAAGAAAAAATAACCCAGGCTCAAGAGAAAGTGCCCACAAAAGGAAGTGAAATGCTAGGCTCAGAAACAGCCAATACTAATGGTCCTGGGATATCATATTTCAGAATGACAAAGACCTTCATGAAGATAAACTGGGCTGGGGATGTGGCTCAAGCGGTAGCGCGCTCGCCTGGCATGCGTGCCGCCCGGGTTCGATCCTCAGCACCACATACAAACAAAGATGCTGTGTCTGCCAAGAACTGAAAAATAAATATTAAAAAATTCTCTCTCTCTCTTTAAAAAAAAAAAAAAAGATCTTCATGAAGATAAACTAACATATAACCACATGAAAATAAATATTCGAGAATGAATACTTCCACATTTAAGAAAATGTTTTAAATAGGTGAAACTACCTCTGAAGGTGGGGAAGGAAAAGAAGTTACTCAAGAAAGAAAAAGTCAACAGAACATAATTTAGCTCTAGAGTTAAGTTGTATTTGCACTGTCAAAACTAAAATAAGCACTGACTTCAATTAACAACAACAACAACAAAAAACAGATCACATTTTAACTAGCTATATATTCAAAGGTGGAAAGAAGGGGGAAATGTCAGTAGTGCAATATAACTTAAGAAAATCCTTATCTACCAGAATAGAAAGTTGATAGGTTACAAATAAATTGGGGAAAAAAAAAAAGTAATAGAGCCAGGTGGTGGCACATGTTTGTAATCCCAGAGTCTCTGGAAGCTAAGGCAGGAGGCCAGCCTCACCAAGTAAGATCCTGTCTCAAAAAAATAAAGAGAGGGGCTGGGATTGTGGCTTAGTGGTAGAGTACTTGCCTAGCATGGGCGGGACCCGGGTTCGATTCTCAGCACCACATAAAAATAAAGGCATTGTGTTGTGTCCATCTAACCTAAAAAATAAATGTTAAAAATAAAATAAAATAAATAAAGAGGGCTGGGGCTGTAGTTCAATGGTAAAGTGTACCTGAGTTAAATCCCTAGTACTAGAAATCAAAAAAAGAAAGGGAGGGGGGGCAATAGAGCATATTTAGACGCATGAAAGAAAATTCCAAAACAGGTTAGGAGTTATAAGATATTTCTACTAGGAAGCAGAAGTGGGATGGGGCACTGGGGAATATAGTTTTTATTATCTTTGGTCAGCTTACCTCATGCATATGTATATTTTTTAAAACATTTTTTATCAAAATTATAACTATCCATTTTTAAAATCACCACAGAGTTTAAACTGGAAAATATGTAGTTGATTGATGTTTCTGGGACTCAATGAAAGCTCACATGAAATTTTAAGAAAAAGTGCTGCGTACAGTAAG